CCTATGTTGTTTTATATTTTTCCTGTAGGTCTTTCTTTCAAGAAGTATCTTCTGTTCTTCTAGCCACTCCAGGTTGGTCTGCTTGTCCTTTCAAGTGGGAGTTTCCCATCTCTGGAGATCTGGATGTGGTTCAGGCTTCCATCTATAGTCTTATGTATTGCAGAGGATCCTCAGGAAGCCTCCTTCACTGGGCACGTTGTAGCCCCATTTTAGGTATTCCAATCAGTTACAGGCAGAAGACGGACTTAAAAGCTTTCTATGGTGATGCTTTTTTGCTATTCCTCTATGGTACTTTTGATATTCTTCAACACCATAATTCAAATATATTCTTTTACAGTCTTTTTTTTAAATTCATTGTCAAATCATCACAAGCATTTGAGACTATTGAAAATATCATAGCCTGGGTCAGACACTTCTTAGTCCTCAAACTGATATCTTTGTTCTTGAACATTTTAAAGAGGTCTTGTGCAGCAGATTTGCCTAATGCAATCTGTCATTTGATTTCTTCACTGCTGTTTCCATGAGTGTTGCTTGTGGATCCACACAAAATGAAGTCTGACAAACTTCAATCTTTTCTCCATTTATCATGATGTTATTTATTGGTCTAGTTGAGAGGATTTTCGTTTTCTTTACATTGAGGTGCAGTCCATGCTGAAGGCTGAAGACTTTGATCTCAGAAATACTATACAGGGCTGCTATGAGTCAGAAAGGACTCACTGGCACTTAACGACAATAATTAATATATCTCCAATTCATTCCATTCTTCCTTTACCAGATTGTAAGCAACTATAACCCTGATGGAGTAATTATTGTCTCTTTTGGATTTCTTTGTGGAAACTCCCTCTCCAAGAGTGATACCTAAAACAGACTCCAATACATCCAGAAGAGAGTGGATGGCACGCCTGTGGATTCTCTTAGAAATGGGAATGACTTTTGGCTCAAGTATTAACAGCCAATTCTCATGCAACTTCAAAAAGAAAAACGCAAACTCATTGTCAGGGAGTTGATTCCAGCTCATGGCAACCCCCATGTGTTACAGAGTAAAGCTTCTCCGAAGGGCTTTCTTAATTGTAATTTTCATGGAAGCAGATCACCATGATGCTGCTAGATAAATTCGAAGCACTAACTTTTAGGTTAGGAGTCAAGTGCAAATTGCCATACCACCAGGGGATCTTCAAGCAGCTTGCTACTGCATGCCATCGAGTTGGTTCCAACTCATTGCAACCCTGTATAGGCTTCCAAGCCTGTAAATGTTTACAGGAGCAAAAAGCCTGATCTTTCTCCCATAGAGTGGCTAGTAGATTAGAACTGCTGTCCTTGCAGATAGTAACCTACCACATAACCCACTACGCTACCCTGGCTTCTGTCAAGCAGCTTTGTTGCTGTTAAGTGCTGTCAAGTTGGTTCTGACTCATAGTGACCCTGTAGGTGAGGAGCAGCTGGTGGGTTTGAACTACAGAACTTGTGGTTAGCAGTCCATTGCTTACCCTACAGCACCACACCAGGACTCCTCAAGCAGCTTTGTTGTTGTTAAGTGCTGTTGAGGTGTTTCAAATTCATAGCCACCCTGTATAGAGTTTCCAAGGAGCAGCTGGTAGGTTTAAAAAGCAG